GACTGAATAAGAATACAGGCAGAATGAAAGTATTTACATGAGAGAACTAGGCATACAATTTTAGGTGCTTTAGTATGCAAGTCTAGCATTTATGTTTTGTCTTCTGAAGCCTCCCTATTCTGGCCAAGTTCCTTCTATGATATATTCTTTATATTTGATGATCAGTTAAGTGCATTTGCTGTTGTTGGCACATTCAACTTTGCATGCAATATGCTGAGAGAGAGAGAGAGAGAGAGAATGAGGGGGGGACAATGTTTTATCTTTATGTTACATGTAGTCTGGAGTCTGGTCCTTAATATGTTATGGGATGAATGATAATTTTACTTGAAAGTGATATGAGATAAACCACTTTCAAAATGTTTATTTTATTAAACATATTTAAAACTTGTTTTGTTAAACTGACAAATATGCATCAAGAGAATTCAGTACCTATTTGTTATAATTAATTTTCCATTTAATTTAATTTTACAATAAAAGAATTCATTATTAAATATTGATAATAGACTGAAATAAAAAATATTTTGTTAGCTTCATGCTATTTCAGCAAATACAAAATTTTGGGAACCCATATTTTTGGACTGTTAATGTGAGGATTCCTCTGCAGAATGTTTACAGGTTACAGCCCATGTCAGACATTAACATATAACTTGTTCAGAGCTATAATCTCATATTTCAGGCTCCAGAAATAGTGGTTCATGCTGGGATCTCTAGTATTTACAGCATTCCAAACCAAGCTAATGATAAAGTTCTAATCTATAGTTCATACAACATGCATCTAACCTGCACTGTGCATTAGCTTTTCTAGTACAGCTGCTGGCAGTACTGTTACGGGGCCTATCTTTCTCACTGAGTAGACGAGGGTAACAGCATTTGTCCGTGCATTCTTCTTCATCATAGCCACAGTCACACTCCTCACCTGCCTCAACTATCTTGTTGCCACAGAATGCTCCTTCAGATACTGTAAGATAAACACATATTGGAAATAAATGACACTAACACTTAACATACTATATGCACAGTCCTTGATTTTATTACACTAATAATCTAGTAGTTGTTCATGAACAGACTCCGTGGCCTGTAGTCCGCAAGCAAACTATACTGACCGAGCAACTGCCACTTGTCGGCGATGTTAGTGCCAACTTTAGCAGACAGAGGGTGTCACATGGTCAGTGGAACAGATAACCACAGCTGTTAATCTCGGTTTTCTAGACTGAAGCCGCTATTTCCTTGAAACAGCTCCTCAATTATCTTCACGAGGTTGAGTGGGCCCTGTTCCAGAACCACTACTACTCAGAAAATCTGGTAGTGCCAGGAATCAAACCCGGGACTTCTGGATCTGTAGCCAGGAACTCTGACCACTAGACCACAGAGGCGGTATAGTTTTTCACGAACACTGCAAATATTCTCTTAATAATATACAGAATATTTTTAAGACTGAAACTGAGAAAATTAGCACCTTTTTTGAAGAAAAGAATTAAATATGCAACTTTTAAATTATAAGTAAGGTGTTATACCAGTTAAGACACTGAGTGACTTCAGTAAGCACACCACCCTATACATGCTATCACTCCAATATAATCATGACAGAAAAGTGTGGCTTGTAACAAGAACTTCATTACAGTGACAAATATCATCAGCATTATGAATAAGTGGAAGTATCTCATATAAAATGAGGGCTTTCTTCTGACACTTCCGTCATTATAAGAGATTTGTAACTAGCTGCAACTTTTCTCTGTAATTTCCATAGTCGTTTTTAATGATAAGCGCTTCAAAACAGAATATATACTGCTGGATCTGCATTGATTACTTTAACCTTTAAGAGCCTAGCGACACTGTATGGAGACCTTTAAAGTGTAGCTGAGTGGCTGTGCAACACCGTATGGGTACGTGCAGTCCACGCGTGCGCACAGTGTTTTAAAATCTAATTTTAAGATAGAAATTCTTGTTCTACTTACATTATTTTTGGGCACCCGCTTTATAAGCAGACAGTCTTCCCTTCTGCATCATCTAACTGAATGTTGCATCTAACTGAATGCAGAGTCTGACGTCGCAATTCATGCACTTTGTCCGGATGTAACTCCGTTTCCCATGCAAAGAGCACACACGACACCTCAGTCTCGTATTAGAGGAAGTTGGCCAGTCATGTCAAGTGGCCTCCTCTAATCGTAATGCTTATAAAACATCACAATTTCAACTATCCACCATGGCCTCATTTCACGTGGAAGAAGCCGAAAATGAGAGGCCGCTGATAAATGACACCGNGAATCAGTGTAACAATTTTTACAGATTTTAAAATCTGTAAATTATAATAGCTGATTCTATATTCTTTCTAGATAAAAGCAGCGTTTATTTCGTTTGTTTATCACAAAAATTGTAGCAATCACAGCATTTTCAGTAACATGCTTACAATTTTTAATACTCTACAATGGTGGACATTTAAATTAACAATATTACAAATTTTCCATACATCAAGGCTGCATAGTATTTAAATATATTTCCACATGTATCAAGTTTTGCATGAAGCTCAGTAAATTCGCTACTGAAACCCCTTCATGTTGTGAGGCTTTTGGAGAACATTCTATAAGCCAGACAGGGGTTTTGAATGACATTCACACTGTGTCAGTTGAAGACGATGAACATTCAGGAAAACCAAGCACCAGTAAAACAAGAGAAAATGTTGACAAAATTTGAGAACTCATCCACAAAGACCACTGCCAAAAAATCATGAGCTCACAAACAATGCTGGAATCAGTTATGGAGTTTGCCAGGAGATAGTAACAAAAAATTTGAACATGTGCTGCACTGTTGCAAAGTTTGTCCCCCCCCCCTCAACTCTTGACAAATGATCAAAAGCAGCGTTGCGTAAACATGTGTCTTGAGCTATGAGAGAAAGCTAACAAGGGTCCTGGGATTGTAATGGGTGATGGAAGTTGAATTTACAATTCTGATCCAGAAACAAAGTAACAATCATCATTGTGAAAGAGCAAAGAACAAAAAAGGCATGGCAGGTCCAGAGTTCAACAAAGAGCATGCTCATTGTGTTTTTCAACATGAAGGGGACTGTTCACTGTGAATTTGTTCCTCCTAATACTACGGTCAACTCTGACTTTTACTGCGATGTTCTGAGACACTTGAGAGAAAATGTGCAACAAAAAAGACCAGAACTTTTGCACAACCACAACTGGCTCCTTCATCACTACAATGCGCCCACCCACAGGTTCCTGAAAACCACAGAGCCTCACTAACAACATGGTTACTGTTCCCCTTCCTCCCTACTTGCCGGACTTAGCCCCCCGTGATTTCACTTTGTTTCCCAAATTGAAAATGAAACTGAAGGGACGATGTTTTGAAACAGCATCTGACACTGAAGGGGAATCACAAGCAGTACTCAACAGCATTAAGGAAAATAACTTCCACAGTGCTTCTCAGGCATGGAAAAAATGATTGGATTGTTGTATACATTCATAAGGAGACTATTTTGAAGAGGATGGCAGCCAAAATTGAGTAAGTTAAGCCAAAATTTCCTTTTTGACCTAGTCCGGGAACTTTCTGATAGCACATCTATCAAAGGTGGAAATTTGTTAGAGTAGATTTTCATTATATTGTGATTTCCCTTAATATAATTTTGTAAACAGACTGGAAACACATTTACATTAATGTAGATAAGGTTACAACACTTGGTAAACACCCCTCCCCACTAGACTGTGATGTCACGCAACAGTGGAGTCCATGCAGCAACCGTTGGCAGGCAATCGGTCAGTAAACACATCCAATAACATAGGCTGTTTTCTGTGTGGTCTGTGAGAGGCCTATGTAAGGGGCTCAGTGCACCAATCAAGTTCAGTTGAAATATAGCAGCTGCCGAAGACAGCTGAAGCATGGAAGTGACTACAGCAGGATACTGAAGTTGTGAATTATGTAAGCGTGGATAAAAGTGTGCAATAAATTCACTAGATCCAAGACCAGCGTGAAGCTATTTGTCGCGCTACACAGCCAACACACAACAATACTTCTGTTAATTTTACATACAAATCAGAGGATGCAAACTGTTGATATTCTACTATATTAGCCAAAGGCAACTCTGAAATGCAATGCCACACTTACCTGTAAAGCAGTTCCTCTTTTTGTTGTCTTCAATGGCATCCAGCACATTGCTAATATTTCCAATACTACAACTTGAAAATTTGCTGTTGTTGGGGCGATCACCACTTGTAGCTGATGCAAACATTATAAAGTTGCCATTTGAGCCACCAGGTCGACATTCTTGTGGGTAGTCATGCTGCAAACAGAATATATGAAAACATTAACCCTTCCACACCGACATCGGTGTGCTTCACCGACTCTTTAAATAATCGTATGCTACCGACATCTGTGCAGTGCACCGACCTGCGCAGTGTTA